AGCCCAGGAGACTGATCATCCAAAAGCCTTCTCATTTCAATCTTGTGTGATTTGGCCCATTACACTTTGGTTAGTCTATATTGTATTTGGTCTGATCAACTACCGTATTAAAATAGTATAATTTTGCCTCTAGGCGTGCTAAGAATATTATACACGTGTTATGTTTTTTTTTAGGGGATAGTCTCTAAGTGCCCCACTTTCGAAGACCAGAGTTGGCGCACATTGACAGCTTTAGTTACTTCTTTTAAATTATTATTAACAACCACATGATAGTTTAAACCATCTAAAATTAAATTAATAAGGTTGCGGCTTTCGATGAGAAGACATGTAACTTTTAAAATAAGAAAAACATGTGAAAACCCTCTATAAATTTTAAGCCCCATTGTCCCAGTTTTCATATGTTTGTGTTTGATAGACGGAGAGAGAGATGTTGGGACCAACGAGGCCTCAATTTGTGTTGTTTGGTTCTTCCATTGTTCAATACAGTTATCATGAAAGTTGGGGAGCTATTCTTTCTCACTTGTATGCTCGTAAGGTAATTTCTTCATCCTCTTAAAACTTTTGTGAGTTGATTAATGTTATTCATATCCATTATAATATCTTACATCAAGTTTGAGAGATTTAATATAAAAATTATTAATTTTGGGTGAGATAATTCTCTATCATGGTATCAGATTGATTCTTAATGCGCCCCAATTTTTGTTTTTTTTTTATAGAATTAAGTTAGTATTAAGTAAAATAAAATAAAATAAAAAGCATATGTAATATCCAAACTTCAAGTTAAAGGGTTACTGTGTAAGGAAATATATTATATCTCTATTATTGATAGATATTTGCTTAATAGATTAAACTTTTAGATTTAAATTGATCGGGAGAGATGAAAACACATGTGCTCTAGAGAAGGAAGGTTTATAGAGATATGTTACAGATTGTGTTATATAAATGACATAGTTTTACGGAGTTAAGAATTTTAAGAATGCGAAATTTGTTGTGATATATATCAACTTTTAAATTATGAAAAAAAAAGAAGCAACGCTATTAGTATAGTTTTTTTTTTTTAACTAAATCTATTACATATTTAAGTATTTATATTAGTTTTATTCAACACTTGAGGTTTCTACTGACTTTAAAATTGGTTAACTTCCTTTTTCACAAAATTTTTAAAAACAAAACAAATATTATACTATGAATCCAGTCTCTTTTATTATTATTTTTGAACGGGTTTATCACACTCTTATAATACTGTTCGTATGAAATATTTGACTATCATATATAAGGGTTTAGTGTGTGTTGTTTAAAAGGACACAAGTTGTGTCATTTTAGTGATTTACACAAAGTATGTCCGGTCATAATTTGTGTAAATCTGAAAAGTTGTTTTTTTCACTTTACACGTCAGCGATGTGACTAAGAAGAGAAAAAAAAGTAACTTTTCAGATTTATACAAATATTTTGTGTAAATCACCTAAAAATACACAACTTGTGTTCTTTTAAATGATATTTCTTTTTCCCCATATATAATTATGGGAAAAAATTTCTCCTTTCATCGGAGAAAAAAATGATTCCTACTAAGACAAGAAAATGGGGTCAATGATTTAAAAAAAAAAAGTGAGAGGAAGATGTATGTATAGGAATCATTTTTTTTCTCCGTAAAAGGAGAAAAGCATTCCCCTATAATTATTATGGGAAATAATAATCTCATTTTATATAAGATAATTATCTCATATTATTTCATTTCGAAATTCTCATTCGTTTTTTTTTTTTTTTTGCTTTAATGGTAGATCCTACCTAACTTCTCTCTATAGCATAAGAGAATTACTTTCATATAAAATGAGAGTAGTATTACCCCATTATTATTAATGAAATGTGAAAAAAGAATATTGGAGTTTATGGGTTTTAATTTTTTTATGCATTAGGAGAAAATTTTAGAAAAACTATAGAGATACATTTGTTTGAGACCTATATCTATTAAAAAATAAAATAAAATAAAAAATTACACGAAAATCAAAGATCACTAATAGAAAAGAAAACAAACGAGAAAATGTTTTGCCTGGAGTCTATATACATTTATGATTTATGAATGCTTTTTTGAGAGTACTAATGAATTGGTGAATGACTATAACATATCCTTGACATGACATATAGGCGGATATAATATTGCGAGGATACGCGGCTTGGAATACAAGGCGTGCTCTGCAGGTTCTGGATAAAATCTTTCTTAAGGTATTAAGCATCTTTGTGTTAATTTTCTCTATTGAATCAGGTTTTTTGTTGCAGATTACCTTGCAAAATGATATCTTGAACTTACCTTAGAAGTTAGCAGTGACATATTAGGAATATTATACTGAATTTCACTTTATTAAATGTGGTGTAATGAACATAATTATCACAATTTGTAGCATACATATAAGTTCTTATTTCTATTTTTATCATTTACGTTCAGCTTTGCACCATGTTGTTATTTTGATTCTTGCAATGTCATCTTCTTTAACTCAGAATAACACTGAGCAACCATCATTGGTGATTGTGTACTTTGGTGGTAATGATTCTATTATTCCACATCCAAGTGGCCTTGGTCCTCATGTACCTATCCAAGAATACATAGAAAATATGAGGAAGATTGCTATCCATTTGAAGGTAAATTTCAATTCTAGAGTACCACATTCCTCTGTTAATTATTATTATATGAAAGAAATCATTTATCCTTCAAGTATTTTTTGTGGACTGCTTGCAGAATCTCCTTCTTCTTCTTCTTCTTTTTCTTACCTTATATTTGTGATTGCCAGAGCCTTTCAGAAAACACTCGCATAATATTTCTCAGTACACCTCCCATCAATGATGCACAAATCCATGAAAACAGGTAAGGAATGAAATTGGTTTGCTTTATAAAATTTCATAGAAAGGTAGGGATATACATACTAATGATGCCTCATGCCAACACTTCTATCTAGATTATTAATTACATAATCAAGCATTTACTTGGTATATACTGCAAACAATCTCTTTCCTAAAAACTCATCTCCCCTCATATTTGCACATATATGTCATGATCTCTTAAGTTTATTATACATAAAGAAAACCTATACCCAAATGTTCATGTGATATATTGTTCTTAAAACTTCAGCTCAAGTTTGAGTAATGGAATGGTTGGTATGTAAGAATTTAAATCTTCAGCCTAAAACCTACGAGACTTGAGTCCATTATACTGGTATATGATAAGTTTAGAGGATGTCTGGTTCCTTTACAAGACCCTTTGGCATTCTTATTTCTCGATTTATTTATTGGGAAAGTTTATATTTACAATTTTTTTTTGTTTACAAAGTCAGCTATGTATTTCCAGGAATAGACTCAGCTAGAAATGTATTCCCGGAAATACACATAGGGAGCGTTTGGTAGAGGAGAACTTTTTTTTTATTCAGGAATCTCGATTTTCAGAAATATAATTTTTACATTCAATTTACGATAATATTCAAAAATTAAAAATTTAGAAAAATTCAGTTTTCCGAGAATCCTGAAGAATACCGCGTACCAAACGGGCCTATAGTGTAGTTTGTAAGAGTCTGTAAATAAAAAGTTTGTAAATATAACATGTAATACACTATTTTTTATTTTGGAATTTACATCGGGAAATGTTATATTTACAAACTACACTATGTTTAACCGGTAATACACTCTTGAGTAGAGTATTACCGATCAGACATAGTGTAATTTGTAAGTTTGTAAACGGATCCTTCCCCGTGTTTACGTTCAATCTTAAACTCTGATGAAAAAATTGTTGGAGTTAAACCAGCGATTCACAGATGCAGCCATTGAGGACAAATGAAACCCGTCGAATATATTCAGAAGCATGTTTGGAGCTGTGCCGTGAGATGAATATAAAGGCCATTGATCTCTGGTCTGCAATCCAGGAAAGGGATGACTGGAGAGATGTTTGTTTCATGTAAGTATGCTCTCAAATATGTCCATGAATTGAAAAGGTTCAAATCAGCATTTCCTTTCATTTGATTTGGTGGTTTTGGTTATTCATTAGCGATGATGGAATTCATCTGTCATATGAGGGAAGCAAGATAGTGGCAAAAGAGATAATGAAGGTCCTTAAAGAAGCAGAATGGGAACCTAGTCTACACTATAAGTCAATGCCAGCTGAGTTTGGAGAAGATTCACCATATTATCCAATTGGTCCTGATGGAAAACCTTTTAATGTCTCCAACTTTCCCTTTCCAGAAAGTATTGAAGGGGACTACCCTTAACCACCAATTCATTGAATTCTTGGGAAATATAGTGATTTCGTTAATAAAGTATCCAAACCCATTAGTTATGAATTAGTTATATATAAATGTTTAGGGCGATGTTTCTTTAGTCTGAATATTATTTGTACTTTGGGAAATTAAGAGAGGAAATAGGAAAGCTCTCAAGGCTAGGTGGTTTGTCTCTGATTGAAGTTTTTCCTCTTGTTCTTTCTATGTTTTCTGCAATTTAATTGCGTTTCTGTCATCGTTTTGTGTTGACGTCTGTATTACGAGGCATGGAGTCTGTGATTGCTTGTATTTGGTTTGCTGTCAGTGCTGTAACGGAACTTGTCTCCAATGAACTTTCGAATTAATAGAAATACTTTGGTGTTAATTTTATGGTTCCATCATATAGCCATAAAATAGCAGGATTTAAGTACTGTGCCAATAAATATATGGCGTTCTCAGTTCATGCATGTTCAATCATAAATGGGAGATAAATTGTGAACTAGTGACTGTGACTTATATTTGTACTGATTGAGCCAATTGCAAAGTGAAACCTAAAATTTTTCATTTATATTATTTGAAGTGATTGTTGTATGTATTATATAAAATACCATGATCTACACCGATAATTATACATCACGCGCAGCAAGGAGACACCAGAGACGAGAATGTAACTAGCTGCATAATCAACATATATCAAAGCTATTAACAAAGCTGACTACGTAATTAACATCAAATGCAAAAGACTTCAAAACCGTAAAACACCGTTCTAAATGCCCCACAAGTTCCTATTGAAACCTATTAATACAAAGAAAGAGCTACACAAACATGTAAGATCATAAAAATAAAAGATTAAAAGGACCCTGCATGTACAACATCCTCTTTGGCAGGGTTGTCTTACATCAAAGAGTATTCTAGGAATATAGTACTCTTGTGCGCACATAATACAATACGTTTAATTACATAGCAGGATGTAAAACACAAATCAAACAAAGGAGTAATACATACAAGGGCGACGACAGAAGCAAAGACCAAAGTTGCAGCACAAGCAACTAGTATAAAATGATTCTTCTCAGATGATGATCAGCTTACTCTATAGCTTTCAACATAAAACAAAACTAGACCACAACACATCCGAATATAAAAACCACTCCAAAGAATATGATGAGAGACATGGAATCCCCGATGGCTCCCTCCAGAGATTACTACTATTCCAGGCTAAGTCATACTTCATGCAGACAATTGGAATCTGCCGCTGGGCTTTCTTCTTCTCCATCCCTAGTATTTCCAAATAAAAAACCCTTTAGCATCATTAAGAATATTAACATGTACTAAAAAGAGGAAAAAAAACTTTTCCAGAGATAAACTTACAAAGGCAGCATAATACACAAAGGTCAATCCAGCCAAGACAACAAATGCAATTTGAAATACATTGTACCTGTAATGTAATAACCAGTTAGTCAAACTATATTAAACTGTGTAACCACCAATTATAACTATACAAATCCTCATCTTTACTCACCAAGGATAATGGTCAAAACATACCCTAATAAAATTAAAAAGAACGAAACAAATGAAGCATGCTGATTAGATATTTTTGTTTGTGGATTTTTGGTACGGGAATCATGATTCCATATAGAACCTCAGCTTAAAATATGGGATTTATTCGAGTTGGAAGTTGGAACAATTAGAGGGTCACCCCATTATATGGTTTAAACAAGTTACCAAAAAGAAGGTACTATTTTTGCTCCGCAAGGGCAGGGGAGGAGCGGCAGAAGAAAGAAATCCAGCTTGACTTACTTGTATAAATATTTAATTCCACGAAGAGACTCCAAAGTGTGGCCAAATATTTCCTGGGCTGCAGTTGCTTGAGCATAGTAAGCAAATGCTGTGGAACAAAACTGGATCACACTGAAAAAAAAAACAAAAAAAACAATAGAACTTTCAGCAAGGTTTTCACAGCATGACAGTATAAGAAATTAAGAAGTGCCTTACGCTTTGTATTGAACACTACTTGCTACATTACAAAACACTTGTAATACTAATCAAACAATTGACTTAATTTATTTCCCTTGCTTCTTTCAAATTTGAAATTTACAAAAGGGAAAATCAAAGCCGAACAGTATCATCATTTTAAATTTCCAATTTTTTTGAATCTCTATCTTCATAGTATATGCAACCAAAGAAGAATTAAAGCATTACAAACTTTATCATACTCCAAGGTAGAAACTTCAAATTCAATACGTATATCATCTCATTTGGAATGTAAAGTACAGACTATACTGACCTAATGGAACAAAGAAGGATAAGTCCCACATTAAACAGAAAAGAATTCATTAGAGTCGCTCCCCACCTGCCAGTGTTAAGTTCATATCATGAGTGATCAACAAGTACATTAAATGACCAATACGGAGACTAAACTGATTAATCTGACTGCACTACTGAATTACTTCATGGGATGTATAGTAACGAAAACTAGTCTCAGCCCAAGCATCATGGCACCAGCAATCACGGCAAGGAGAAGGTAAAAGCAGAAGAATGCAAATGCAGCTGTGCCAAGAAGACCTGATGAAAGACCAAACTACATTATTAACTAGAATAACTGAATAATATTAGCATATAATGTATCTATAACTATCCATAGCTGAAGGAAAGATAACAAATAGCACGTATACTCCAACATACCCCAGATGTCATCTAGTTTGATGAAAACTTCATTCAGGAAAGGAGAAATGGGAGGATCAATTAATAGATAGATAATGATATGAGCAACCCACGCCACTGAAACAACCAACCTGTCACAGTTTTCAAAAACTTAGGTTAGATAATCCATAGGAAGCATAATATCTGATAAATAAGTAATCTTTGTAAAACTATGCACAATGGTACAAGGCATCGTCAAGCATCATGCATTTATAGCAACTTTTAGTGTTATGTATCATTTCTTACCCTAAAATTCCCAAAACAAGTTTTGCCAGATAACCAAGAACTGTCAGTGCCCATGATGTCTCAGCCTGCAGCATTCTTGCACGATCAGTCAGTGGAAAAAACATTACATTAATTATGCCTCAGAGTTAAAAAGTTAGAAATCTGATTATCAACCTTCTCTCCTTGTGGATACATCTCTTCAAGAAGCTTTACATCTTCTTCTAATTGAAACAATTCCTGGAAATTTATGTGACAGAGATAAGCAAACAACTAGAACCACACAAATTATGAACACTTCAGTGAATGTATACAACTTTCTGGTAGGAACTAGAATCAAATTAATATATGGAAAGCCCATACCAACAAGGGTATCCACATAAATACTTGAAAGAATGCAGTACAGGATACTGATGAGTAACCAACATTTGTTTACCTTTTCTACTTCCTTCACATTTTTACGAAATTTTCTACCCTTTGAACCACTTCTTTCTTCCTGATGGAGGGACTCAGTTGCTTTCTTTAGTTCTTTGGCTTTTTTACCCAGTTCAGTTGCTTCCTACAGTAACCAACCAGCAATACCATTACTATGGCATATCATTTAAGAAAAACACATATGATCAACAATGTAATATATCTCCTTTAGTAACAAGATATAGCACCTTGATATACTGTGAGCGAGTGATAACAGCCTTTGGACGCCGGATAAATGAAAATATAAGTCCCAATGGAAGACAAGCAATACCAACGCCACCAAATATCTGGATTGAATGGTAAGAAAACAAAGTTGAATATCATGAATAGGAAATCTAGTAATCAATATGACGTAATATGGATTTCATAAGAGACAGTTTCTTCTTGTGTGCAGTAAATTTTATATCTTTAGGCGATTAACAAAATCTCAATTGCTAAAGAGAATAACACAATATTCTAATTCACACATACTTGTGGGTAAAAAAAGATAACCGCAGGAGAATAATTTCTTTTGCTAAAACAGTATGTAATACAAATTCCAAACAAGCCCAAAAACTAGGCTGAATATGAAGCAGGAATTACAAGTATGGATAATTAAATTTCATGAAGAACGAGCTTACAGCAAAAAGCACAGATCCAACAATGGTAGCAAGAGCAACAACATATTCTGGAAAGGTAGTACGCATGGTCCATGTTTTCTCTGATGAAGGACTAGCAGAGTATGCTGAGCACTGTTTTAAGGAGAAAGGTTGGGGGGGGGGGGGGGGGTGAAGAGGAAGTAAAGAAAAAAAAAGAATGAGCAACGAATGAGCAACGGAAAAAATTACTTCGGAAAACAACAAAACTAGCAAAAAGAACTGAACTACAAGAAACAAAAGACCTGATGGGCACCACTTCCAATACATTGTTGACCACTATTGAAGCCCCATGTGCCAGGAAATGAAGTTGTGGATGAAGAGAGGTGCCTAACAGTAAAGTCCACCTTACCAACAAGCCCTAATAAATCAATGATAGAATAAAAGCACAATCAAACACGGTTTAAAGGTCATATTAAACCACATCAGATTTAAATCTTTACTCAATTGTGGGTGATTTGTATTGAATCATCATTGAATTTGAAATGATGAACGAAAATCCTTCTTATTGCAATGATTATATTCTGCTAATTGTGAACCGTGACTTTAGGAATGATTATGCATTATGTAATACTTTTTACACCTATGAATATAATTTTGAATAGTTTAATTATTTTTCTATGTATTTTATGTAGAAAGGCTATAAGTGTATGCTCAATTTCCAAGTCCAACTACATTAAAAGTGAACATTGTAAAGGAAATAAAACAGGTTTTGTTTAGTTGAAATTTCAATAACTGTATCTTCTAATTTTTCTTCTTTTTTCGCCCAATCCAAGACTCCTTCCTGTCTGTCCATCCCATACTATGAACCAAAATGTCCAACACCGTTTCACTAACATAAACATTGAAATAGTTACTGCTGCTGGCAATGCACTATTATTGCTACAAAGACCAACTCCAATCTCAGTTGTCCTTCCTTTAAATCCTGCCCATTTTTGCTACCATTAATCCACTACAAACCAATCATTTTTCATAATCCATCACCACTTAAACATTACTTATAAAGCACAGAACTTTGCTAAGAAGCACTTCCCTTAAAAAACCCTGTAAAGGATGTAAACTAATTTCAACTTCTATTACCTGCCCACATCTTTAATTATACGAAAAACCACATTTTTTTTCAAGTTAAGAGGCTGTTGTACAAACATGGCCACCAAACAAATCCAATCCATCAACCAACCACCCAATATTGACAACTGAAGAAAAAACACCAAGGTTCCTTCCCATATTGCTGTTAGTCCAGGAACCCATCCAGCCAGTCCCTCCAAAATTAACGACCACAGCACCCAACACAGTTTCACTCTCATAAACTCTGAAACAGCTACCCCTCTCCTGCTTGCACTGCCCTATTATTGCTACAAAGAGCAACCACAAAAAAACTGCTAAGTTCTACTTCCCTGAAAAAACCCTGCGAATGTGATCAGCACCACTCTTTCTCCCGTTCTAACTTTTAATAATTGGCCCGCGTGCATTAATTACACGAAACCCACCTTTTTGTTTTCACGAGAAAGAGACTGTACTACCAAAATGGCCATCAAACAAATCTTATTCGTTATCAAACCACCCAACGTTCCCATAATCCTCTCAGTCCTTGAAAATACACTTCAACTGACACACAAACAACAACTCAGTCCTATCTTACCGATAAACACAACCGCTCACACACAAAGAATAAGTGAAAAGGATGTAATACAAAAGTTCAAAATAAACAGAGTATCATATTCATACCATATAAAATACCCAGAATGAGAGCGCACACTATAGCCGTCGTCACCATCCACAACAACGCACTCTTAATCCTTTTACCCACACTCCTGCAAACAAATTCCACAATAATCCAACATTTCAAAATATAAAAAAAAAATTAAAAAAATCGATTTAAAAGAACGAAGCCTAAAAAATAAAAAATAAAAACTACCTACTTGTCAAGGTCGCCTTCGTAGTAGAACATTGCGAAGGGGATGACGAAGAAGACGAGAACTGCATCAAGAATGTAGACGGCGAGCCAGAGGTCCTTCATCGGGAGCGTGAGGTTGCACGCGCCGTTGTATATGGCGTGCCGGCAAGCCTGCCGGTTGGCCACGTCGGCGGGGAGCATCAGGATGGAGATGGCAGCCACCGACAGCCCCAAAACGACGACTAATTTGGGGAAGTACGCTTGGTTCTTGTCATCAGGGTGCTGGTAGTTCACGAGCAGGTAAACATTGAAGAGGAACACGATAATGCATACAACCACGGCCACGATCACCAGGGCGAGGTTGAAATCGCCCATGTCGATTCAAATTCCTCAAATCGAACGTATAGAGAAAACAAATTGAATTGGGAATTAGGGTTAGGGTTTGTTAGATCCGGTTTAGCGAGAGAGGGAAAGAGAGAGGGGAAATGTGGAGGATTTGTCTCCGGTGGTGGTTTGCTACAGTTAACGGTGGTGGTTTTGATGGGTGAGTTGGGATTACTGTTCTGTCCTCGTTACCGTTAACGAGGAGAGAGGAATAAAGCTGGAACTGCTCGGGGTATAAATGTAATTTCATAGGGATTGGTTCGCTGTTGCAAACAAATTCAAACCAGGCTGTCCCCAAAAACCAAAAACGAGTGGGAAGGCATGGTGATGGAGCTCCGTAACGGTTGAACCGGCCCAACCTGTTCGATCTGGGCCTATTTAGTTTGGTCCAATTTATCATTCTATAGAGCCCATTTCCTAAACTAATGTCCTATCTTTTTAACTGACTATGTTTTGGCCCATTAGTCCATTTCTGACTGTGATTGGTGTAAGTATGAAATTCTTTCTTGTGAACAAGCTGTTTTAAAAGACACATCATGGCACGTGAGTTTGAGATTCTTGTGCGTCATAGAGAAATTCTTAAATACTCCTAACTTAAGAAAAGTTTTTATTTTGTAATATTCAATATGTGTCATTTAATTTATAATATTATAAATGTTATCACGGCAAGAAACAGTAACAATTTACATTACTTTTGACACACAACAAAATAAAATAAATCTTAATTTAAGAACACTCATAAATTTTTCTAGCTTCGTGAGGGTAGAAGAACAAAGATCTCACAACAAAAAGGAAAAGGGAATAATTTTTCTAATGTATTATTTAATGGGTTCGTTTTTTTGCAGTTATTGCAGATAAGTTATTTGTCGTAAGTCCAATACGACGTCGTTTTGGGACGGAAATTATGATGTTTTTGTAATTTTAATTTATTTCAGGGTTATAATAGTCTTTATATTTATAATTTTTTAAAAGTTCAATACCAAAATGACGTCATTTTAAAAAAAAATACAGATAACTTATCTGCAGTAACTACAGAAATATTTTTCTCTTATTTAATATGACATGTCATACGAGACAATCTTAATTAATCATGAAGAAATCAGAAAAAATATTGAAATACAAAATTGACAAAAATATAACCGTTAATGGTTAATATTGTTTCACATAACCTGACCATATTAAATAACATATAAGGTTCATTATCAAAAGAAAAACTAAAAATATGCATGACAACGATTCTCTTCTATGATACACTTTCTCAAAAGTAATAATTATTTTTACTTTTGTGTTTAGGAAGAGTTCTTTGATGACACAATTTATTCTTATACTCGAAGAGACAGCATGTATTCAATAAATAGTATTTAACCATGATAACGCGATTTATTTAATCAATAATGTGACAACTCACAAGGAAGTAAAAGAAAAGTATTTTAACTGAGGAATTCCAACCGAGTAGGGGTGTTGGGCAAGGTGATCCCTTGTCACCTTACCTTTTCGTTCTAGCCATGAAAAAACTCTCTCATATAATTAGCATTGCTGTCAGCGGAGGTTTGTGCAAGCCTATTCAGGCAGCAAAAAACGGGCCCTTAATCTCACATTTACTCTTTGTGGATGACCTGATGCTTTTCTTAGAAGCAAATGAGGATCAGATTCATGTTCTTCTCCAATGTCTTGGTCTGTTCGGGGAAATTTCTAGTGAAAAGGTGAGTGAGCAAAAAACCACTGTGTTCTTTTCGAAGAATACTCTGAATGAAATAGCTAACAAAATCATTGATATTAGTGGTTTTAAGCGAGTAACAAATGTGGGGAGATATCTTGGGGCGATGATTCAACAGGGTCGTGTGACAAAGAATCTATTCTCTGGAATTATTGATAGAGTTAAAGAGAGGTTGTCTGCATGGTATAGGCAATCCCTTTCTTAAGCGGGTAGAGTAATTTTATCTCAGTCAGATTTATCTACGATGCCTTTCTTTCATATGCAGAGTATTGTGATCCCAAAATCTGTTTGTGAAGAGTTAGAGCAGCTTCAAAGAGGATTCATTTGGGGAGATTCAGAGGGAAAAAGAAATTTGCATCTCATTGCCTGGGATAAAGTTACTAGACAAAAGAGTGTTGGAGGATTGGGCCTGAGGAAGTTATCAACAATGAATGAGGCATTCATGGGAAAGCTGATTTGGTCCTTTTTAAATAGGCCAGATGATCTTTGGGTTAAGGTTATACAAGCAAAATACAGCAGTCTTATTAATGGTCAGGAGGAGTTTATGTCGAAACGTGGTTGCTCAAGAGTCTAGAAGGCTATGTGTGATGTTTGGCACAAACTCAAACCCAGATTAATTTAGGATATTGGGGATGGTTCTTCTGTTAAATTTTGGGAAGACAAGTGGTTGGAGCATGATCAAAATCTAGCCAGCAAAGCTATAACTCATATCCCACAGACAGAAATCCATAAAAATGTTATGGATTATGTGAGTCTAAATGGAGAGTGGAATACAGATGCCATGCAACAATTCCTATCAGAGGAGGATATTCAGGTTATTAGAAGTTTTCTTCCTCCTCGTGCATCTAATGGGATAGATAAAATCTGTTGGAACCTTGGGGGATCAAATGGGAGCATAGTCAAACAAATATATTTTGCTCTAAGGGAACAAGATGAGATCATCTTGGAGGAACGAGAGATTTGGCATCATATTTGGAATATTAAAGGACCTAATAGGATTAGCTTGTTTCTTTGGAAAGTGGCTCATCATCGTTTAACAACTAGAATCTGGTTAGCGAATTTAAGGTTAGCCCCTGCTACGTGCCCTTTATGCAATGTGGAATGTGAAACTATCCTTCACATGGTTAGAGATTGCAGCAACATGAAGAAGGTATGGTTGGATCTGGTGAACTCAGATCTGATTCCTGAATTTTTTAACCATGATCTTGATAGATGGTTGCTGGAAAATTTGAAAAAAGAATCCTATGTGAGATTCAATGCTCCACGGGCCTTAATTTTTGCAGTGTCGATGTGGATGGCTTGGACTTGGAGAAATTCAATTGTTCACGGTAATGAGACATATGAGCATGCCTACAAAGCTCAAACAATTAAGCTTAAGGTTTGAGAATTCTCTGATTGCTGGAAAATGAAACAAGGCTTCAAGACTACAAAGGCTCTTACATTCATTTCGGTTGGTTGGAATCCTCCAGACGTGGGTTGGATAAAAATCACCACGGATGGGGCATCTAGGAGACCATATGGTGGAGCTGCTTTTGGTGGAGTGCTTAGGGACGCATTAGGTAATTGGCTTAATGGATTTGCATACCATATTGGTCAATGTTCAGCATTTACAGCTAAACTTTGGGGCGTTCTTAAAGGTTTAGAACTGGCTTGGGAAGGAGGTTGGAGGAATATTATTTTAGAAAGTGATTCAAAATCTGTCATCACTTTGCTCACCAAAGATGGAGGAGCAGCTCGAGAGCCGCGATTAGTGACTCGCATTCGAGCATGGTTAGCGAAAGATTGAGAGGTTCATATTACTCATACCTACAGAGAGAGCAATGGCTGCGCATATTGGTTATCTAAATTCCCACTGGATCATCCAATGGAAAATAATCTATGTGTTTTCCATTCTTCCCCTTGGTATTTGGTTGCTGTATCTAGCAGACTTTTCTCATGTTTGTTCTTTTCGCAAAGTTAATTTAATTTAGTTTATGTGGGGCTGTCTCTAACCTTACAGATTATCACGAAAAAAAAAAAAATTTTAATGTTTTCTATTACTTCAAATTTATATTCCCAGACAATCAGTTTATTTTTTAGAATAAAAAAATAAACCAACTTTATCAAATATTATTTTTAACCATTTCTATTTCTTGAATTAAAAATAAAGGAACAAATATTTCTAAAAATATTGCCATGTACACCGTATGAGACTCCGATCTCATAGTCATAATTAATTTCTTCAACCATATTTCAAACAAAGATATGAAAATTGTAACTCAACTGAATATCAAATTATAGAAACAGATCCACGAGCCAAGAACCATATACCCATTTTTTCCTCTTAGCTACACTTAGCGAGAAACTCGGTACATTTGCTTAACTGAAAAAATTTGAACATTTATCCGCAAAGGGAGCCCAAAACCAACAATATGCATAAGAAAAATGACGTGGAAATCGGAAGTAGGTACATTTACAAAGTGCATTTTTTTACCCAAAAAGAAAAATTGTCCCATTATATGTAGCTTTTGTAGTAATTTGCAGCTACTAGTTAGTGGTTAACTTGTTATAGTTAAAACCAAATGATGGTAATTTAGTTGAATAGGTGAGGTGAGAGCATATATTCGATCTTTTCAATATAATTTTTGAGAATGACTTAAAGTCTTAATCTTGAACTCATCTCTAACATAATTGTATCTAGTGGAGAAAAACTGTAATTTAACCACACAAAAAATTGTTATAGTTAAAATTCCCACGAGAGTAACTATGGTGAATTTCTTGGACTTGTTTTCATGTATTTTCTTGTTATTACGTCGCCAATGAAATTCACTGTTAGGATCATATAAGATTAAAGATCTTTTGTTGTGTAATTCGATGTGCATGGAGTCCTTATACTGCACCCATGTGATACTTCCCTTTCAATGAAAATCATTTCTGACCTTGGCCACTACCTTCAGGATCCTGTAGATTATAAATCTTGTGGAATCGTAGTTGAGTTGAGTAACTCTTTCAATCTCATAGGTTGCTATGCATTTTTTGCTTCAGAAAAAAAAAAAAAAAAACGCCCTGTTTGATTACAATTTTTCAGAAAAAAAAAATTGTTTGGTAATGTCTGTTTTTTAAAAATTATAATTGTTTTTTTTTTAAAAAAAAATCAAATTTAAAAAATGGAAAATTATTTTCTCATTTCACATGAGATAAAATAATTTTCCTACACACATAATTGAGTAGTAGAATCCATTTATACTTTTTCTCTCTCCTATATACGTAAGTATAGGAAAATAAGTTTATCTCACGTTAAATGAGATAATCAAATAACTTAGAAAATATGTCTGTGTTGTTTTTATTTTATGTTTTAATTTCTAATTTTTAAAATATAAAATACATAAAACGCATACTTTTATAACTATTTTACAAAAATAAAATATTTATTCGGATAAGAAAGATAAGTTATTTTCGGTGGACATAAAATGATGTCATTTTATGATTGAAATTAATGTATTTTTGTAATTCTAATCTATTGGAGATTATATTAATCTTATCATTATAATTTTTT